CAATCTTAGCTCCTTAAAAGGGATGCTTCTGGCATAGGGTTGTTGTTTTTGGTTTTGTTTTTTGTTTTTTTTTGTCAGTTGCTATGTTACCATTTCGCTGCTCTAAACTTAAGAAATCGGCCTTGGTAATTTCTAGCTCCTTCTTTCCTTCTCTCTCTTCTTTCTTTTTTCTGGAAAACTCTTGACACTTGCTCCTTGAAGATCTACAAGTCTGTTTTCCTATGTATATAAATTCATCAACTCAGTCTTAAAAAATCCTTTTATATCAGATTTTTATTTTTCATCTTATATAGAAAATAGTTGAACATCATATTAACTGTCAGATATAGTTTGAAAACACTAATCAACCCCAGATTATTCCAAAGAATGAACAACAGTAAATCTTATTTCCAACTTCAACTGACACCTCCTAAATTAGGTTCCTTATTACAATACTTCCTCTCAGTTGGCATGCACTCATACAGATAATCAGAGGGACATACTGAAACAAAAACACCTTCTGACTTCCGGCTTGGGCTGATGGTTTACATTGTGTTGAGGCGGAGAATGGAGCGGTTGGAAGCTTTTGGTGTTAATATCATCAAGTTGTAAAGCAGCCCTGGAGGCTGTTCTAGGCCCATTGCAGTTCTACAGAGATTTTAGAATCAGCTCGTCAATTTATATAGACACACACAAAAATAACCTGTTGGGATTTGGATTGGGATTGTATTGAATCTATATTGAATCTGTATTTGGGGAATATGATATCTTTTTTTTTTTTTAAGATTTTATTTATCTGTTTGACAGAGAGAGAGCAGAAACACAAGCAGGGGGAGTGGGAGAGGGAGAAGCAGGCTTCCCGCTGAGCGGGGAGCCCGATGCGGGGCTCGATCCCAGGACCCTGGGATCATGACCTGAGCCGAAGGCAGATGCTTAACGACTGAGCCACCCAGGCGCCCCTTGGGAATATGATATCTTAACAATACTGAATCTCTTGAGCCATGAACAAGGTATATATTATTGTTTATTTAGGTCTTCTTTATCACAACAATACTTTGTAGTTTCAACAATGTACCATCAAATTCATCCAATGGTACCTTTATATCTGGTTCAACCTGAGAAATGGTGCAGGTCTTTCATATTTTTTGTCAGATTTATTCCTAAGTACATTTTTTAAGCTGTTGTAAGTGTGGATTTTTAATTTCAATTTCTAATTTTTGCCACATATACAAACATGATCTTTGTATGTTGCTTTGTATCTTGCAACTTTGATAAAGTCACTTATTAGTTCTAATACATACTTGGTAGACTCCATTGTACATTTTTTTCCATTGTACATTTTCTACATGTCTGAAGATAATGTCATCTGTGAATAAAGGCAATTTTTTCTTTCCAATCTGGATGTCATTTCTTTCTTACCCAATTGTGTAGTCTAGAATCTCCTGTACAACATTGGATAGAGACCTCCCTATTTGTTCTGATGTTAGGGGGAAAGTATTCAATCTTTTACAATTAAGTATGATGTTAGCTCTAGGGTTTTTGTAGATGCCCTTTATCAAATTGGGGAAGCTCCCTTTATTCTTAGTTTGCCTGAGTTTTTCTCAGAAATAGATGGTCAATTTTGTCAAATGATTTTCTGTATTGAGATGATTATGTGAATGCTAAATCAACCCTGCATTCCCAGGATAAATCCCATGACCATGATATATTATCTTTTTATTATATCATAGGATTCAATTTACTAAACTTTTTCTTAGAATTGTTGTACCTAAGTTTATGTGGAATATGGCTTTGTAGCTTTTCTTGTTTTGTTTGTCTGGCTAATAATTTTAGTCCCAGAGTTATGCTGGCCTCACAGAATGAATTGGAAATTATTGCCACTTTGATTTTTTGGAAGTTTGTGTAGAATTGGTATTATTTCTTCTGAAGTTTTTGGTAAAACTCACCACTAAAGCCACCTGGGCCTGGATTTTGTTAGAGGAAGGTTTTAAAACTGCAATTTCAATTTTTTTTAATAAAGATTTTATTTATTTGAGATAGCGAGAGAGAACGCACAAGCAGGGGGAGGGGCAGAAAGAGAGGGAGAAGAAGACTCCCCGCTGAGCAGGGAGCCCAAAGTGGGGCTCCAGCCCAGGACCCTGGGATCATGACCTGTGCTGAAGGCAGATGCTTAACCAATTGAGTCACCCAGGCACCCTTGCAATTTTTGTAGGGCTATTCAGGGTATTTCTTTTTTAGTGTACTCTGGTAATTTTTATCTTTCAAGGAATTTGTCAATTTCATCAATGATGTTGAATTTATTGGCATAAAGTTGCTCCTAATATTCCTTTTAATATCTGTAGGATCTGTACTGATGTTACTTCTCTCATTCCTTATATATATTCCTTGGTCATTTGCTTTCTTTTTTCCCTCACCAATCTGGCTGGAGATTTATCAATTTTATTGGTCTTTTTTCCCCAAAGAACAAGCTTTGGATTCATTGATTGTTCTCTATTATTTTTATCTTTTATTTCATTGATTGCCTCTTTGATCTTTATTATTCCTCCTCTTTTGCTTACCTTGTATTTAATTTGCTTTTCTTTTTCTAGTTTCTTAAAGTGGAAACTCAGGTCACTGATTTGAGACCTTTCTTCCTCCCTAATACAGGTATTTAATACTATAAGTTTCCAAGTACTGCTTTAGTGGCAACCCATAATTTCTTATTCACTTCAAATAACTTTCCAATTTCTCTTTAGATCTCTTTGACTTGTTAGTTTCCAAATATTTGAGGATTGTCAAGGATCTTTCTGTTATTGATTTCTAACATAATTCCTCTGTGGCCAGAGAATATACTTAGTATGATACTTTCAAATTTGAGACTTTTTTAATGGGCCATAATGTGGTCTATCTTCATAAATATCCCATGTACACTCTCATGTTCTGCTGTGGTAGGTGGAATGTTCTATAAATATCAACCAGGTCAAATCGGCTGTTATCATTGTTCAAATAGACTACATTTTTGTTCTGCCAACTTGCTCCATCGGTTTTAGAAAGTGGATACTAAAATCGTTGATAATTGTGTATTTGTCCATTTTTTCCTTGCAGTGTGATCAGCTTTTGCTATCACTTAGGATTGCTGTCAGTTACATTCATTAACAGACCCATTATCAGTATGACATAAGCTTTAATCCCTGTTAATATTCCTTGCTCTAAAATCTGTTATTAATATACACATTCCAGCGTTCTTTTGACTAGTGTTAGCATGGGGTATCTTTTTCTATCCTTTTACTTTTACCCTACTTGTATCTTTAAAGTACATTTCTTGAAGGCAGCATTTTTTTAAATCCAATCTGACAATCTCTGCCTTTTAATTGGAGCATTTAGACTGTTTACATTTAATAGGACTATTGATATGGATAGGTTGACCATATGGTTAAATGACCTATGGATAGGTCATTCCCAGTGCTCTCCAACCCTTTGTGTAGATCTAGATTTCCATCTGGTGTCATTTTCCTTCTGCCTGAGGAACACCCTGTAATTTTTGTTGTAATGTGTTATCTGCTGGTGATAGTCTTTTGCAAGTCTGAAAACATCCTTACTTCTTCCTATTATTCTTTTATCAGTGGTACCTACTCTGCTGTTATGTTAGTTAATCCATTGAACTCTCAATTATGTGTTCCTTATTCCTAGATTTCCATTTGGTACTTTTCCCAATCTACTTGACCATTTTTACAATCATGCTCTTTAATCTCCCCTATTTCTTTAAATATAAAATATATTTTATATTATGTCTGGTGAATCTTAATAGCTTAAGTCTTTGTAGGCCTGCTTCTTCTGTTTCTGCTAGCTCTTGTCTATCTTATGTGTTTGTGATTTTTGATTGTGAACTTATATCCTTGAAACTGTTTCTGAGCTCCTCCAAAGACACTAAGTTTTGCTTCTGTCAGTCACCTGGAGGGCACTAAAAACTGGTATCACTTTAAATTTCTGGTGTGAGACTTTATTTTTAGACCACCCAGATTGTTCAAACAAACCAGCTTCAGGGCTGCTTGTAGCAATATATACATATATATATACACACACACATACATACACACACACACACACGTATATATATACGTATATTCCTTCTCAGGGAAGATGGAGATGTGTTCTCTCAGGATAGGCACTCTTCCTTGCTATTTGGGGGGAGTAGGGGAGGACAAGGGGAGATTGGAGAGGGAGGAGGCAGGCAGATTTGTTCATTGTTCACCCTTAGTAAGTCTATCTTTTTGGGGTCTCAACTTCATGAGATCTCCTATTATCCCTCCCACTTTGGGCAGGCCCTAAGCTTTGTCTGCTATGCTACTGCCCCTTTCCCACCCCAGATGATGAAAATCAATGTTTAATTAGGTATTTGGCAAATGTCCCTAAGGGCAAAAAGTGGCCCCAGTGTCCTAATTACCTCTTTGTGCTTCTACTTCCATTTAAAATTTTTTGAGACTTCTTATTTTATAGCTCACTGATCCATTTTTAAAAATGGCTATTGATATATATTCCAGAAGTTTTAGTTGTTCTCAGCTGGTCCTTATCAGCCATAGTGCTAGCAGAAAAAATTCTTTCAACTTGTTCTTTATCATATACAGTATCCAAATACCCCTCTCTTGATCCAGAGGTAAGAGTGAGAACACACACTTAGGAACCAGCTGGCCTGAGGTCAGGTCTCAGACTCACAAGCAGCGTGACCCTGTAGCTCATTTATACTCTGTGCTGTTGATGCAAGAAATAAATGAGGTAGGGGCGCCTGGGTGGCTCAGTTGGTTAAGTGACTGCGTTCGGCTCAGGTCATAATCCTGGGGTCCTGGGATCAAGCCCTGCATCAGGCTCCCTGCTCAGCCGGAAGCCTGCTTCTCCCTCTCCCACTCCCCCTACTTGTGTTCCCCCTCATGCTGTCTCTCTCTCTCTGTCAATTAAATAAATAAATAAAATCTTTAAAAAAAAAAAAAAAGAAAGAAATGAGGTAAAATACAATCAGTACTTAAAGCAGGGCTGGCTCTGAGAAGTATGAGATAAGGACTTATTTTTATTATGTGAAAAAGTTGTAATCATACACCCGAGTAACAGCACACATCTTACCCAATGGTCTAAGAACACCTGTTCCCTGGCCATCCTAGTCCACTCTACCATGCAGTACCCACACCTCTGTACTTACACTGACACTGACCAGGGTAATCAACTATGAGCTATTCACTGGATGTCAGTCCCAGCTACACTCACAGGATGGGCCCTAAGTCAAGAATGCTAATGGATGCTGATCTAAAAAAATGCCATCATCATACAAACCTGAGTGAACACACAGTCCTTTACCATTAACAAAATCTGAAAGAAAGCATGAACATAAACAAACATGATTTTAAATTTTGTATTTTTTACGGTGGACAGTCATCATTTGCCCCAACAGCCATCTGAAGCCAATAATCCTGATTATTAAAAATCACGAAGTTGTATAAATGTTCTCCTCCTTTTCGAAAACCATGTTCATTTTCTCTCCACGAAACAGGACTGTCTGCAAAGCCTTGTACTGACAACGTAACCCAAGGAGCTAACTTGGGCTCATCAAAGTAGCGACTGAAAAAGAAAGATAAATCTTAAACAGGGAGGGCTAGGAATGTTCACATTTTTTTTACTTATTCAGGATAAGTGATATTTCTGATGTTCCAATGAAGCTTAGACCTTAGCTTTTATTTATAAGGATTAAGAGATGCAAATTACATTCCTGATCCTATGTGGTGTATTCAATAAATGTTAACCAATTACAGAATGCACAAAATCAACTTCAGCAGTTCCTATGCTTACTGTGGAACATCATGTAAGATGTGAAGGGAAAACAAAACAAAGCCACAAAGCGTACAGGAATAGTTTCCCTCCCATTTAACAGTGTTCAGTCTCTGTTAACTGAAACACTGCAGAATAATTTCCTGGATTTAAAAAAAAATCCAATCTTCTTGGGGCACCTGGGTGGCTCAGTCGGTTATGTGTCTGCCTTTGGCTCAGGTCATGATCCCGGGGTCCTGGGATCAAGCCCCGCATTGGACTCCCTGCTCAGCAGGGAGTCTGCTTCTCCCTCTCCCACTCCTCCTGCTTGTGTTCACTCTCTCACTCTCAAATAAATAAATAAAAATCTTAAAAAAAAAAAAATCCAACCTTATTGAGGAAAATGAAAGTACTAAACTAATACATGAAAAAGGGTATTCGGCTTAAAAAAGAAAACCCTCAAGATTTAAATCTTAGACATTTAAAAAGTGAAGATTGATGGGTGCCTTGGTTAAGCATCCAATTCTTAATCTGAGCTCAGGTCTTGATCTTAGGGTCATGAGTTCAAGCCTGGCATTGGGCTTATTTAAAAAAAAAAAAAAAAAGTGAAGACTGAGAAGGCATTATGTTTGCTTCATGGTCTTTTCAATATGGAATCAGAGTTTCCTGACATTAGATAAAATGTAGCGTTTTATTTATAGAGTACCTTCTCAAATGAAAAACCCCATACTGCCTTGTCCAATCCTTGGCATGTTAATGACGCCCAGGGCTTCACAGGATGTCAGGGCCAGATGAGATCTTAGACATGATTTGGATTCAAAAGTGGTCAACTTGTTTTCAAAATAAAACATCTGCCGAACTCTAACATTTAAAACAGACCATAGTGTGTCCCGTAGAGTACTGCTGTTTTCTTAAGTGATATTACAACTTCCGGAGCACAAGAAAAATGAATAGTTTGTTTTCAAGAAGCTTAGTTAAACTCTGCTCTTTGTCTTTTCATAAGGACAAGTATTTGGCAATACAATTTTCCTATCACCAAGGATAGTTACGTCATTTAAGATAATGTTACCACACTGTGAGCCCAAGCAAGGAAAAAAGGGGAAACGTTTGTGAGAGTACGCTGTGATCTGGAACAGTAGCACTGCCCCTAAAATGTCATGTAGGCACGGACAAGCAAGATATAAAAGACAAAAAGCGTTCTCACCACAGCTGTTCCAAGAGGAGACAGATCTTCTCTGGAAGTATGAAACCAGTGATTGTACACAAATAAGCTTTGGCCAACACTGTGCTTGGCTGAGGACAGCAATAGGTTGATATGAAGTTATTAGGCTCATTATTTCTGTCACACACACACAAAAAAAAAAGAAAGAAAGAAAACATATTTACATTTCCCGCATGATTCATTTTCAAAGTATAAACCCCTATGAAGAACAAGAAGTCAGCCAGAGCCCAAGCCCACAGCCCAGGAGCTACTACGCACAGTTCCGCGTGGCTGAAGACGGCGCCCAGCCAGTCCAGAAGCTCGGGAGCGCTGCAGGCTGCCTCTGGCGCCCCCCGGAGGGCGCTGCTTTGCAGCACCGGGCACTGGAGCTCTGTCACTGTGCTCAGGGCTATTTTTGGCTGGTGCTCCTGAATTTGGTAATTGGAAAAGTATGACATCATTGTGGATTCTTCCGCACCTTAAAAACACACCATGCAAGGTCATCTGACTCCTGAAAGCAAGTTCAGTGAATCCCTGAAACCGCCCCATTCCCATGTGAGAGTTCTGGGGAGAAGGTGAGATGAAGTAACGCAGAAGGGAGTGGTGCAAAGCTGTATTCAAATTAAAATCATTTAAGTTGCTTTCAGCTCCTTGTGCCGAAGTTCTCTAAACATTCATTTCCTTTCCTTTTTCCTGGAAAAGCATAATCCTTTCAGATTCAACCCCATATTAGTTTCAGCATTTGCTCTAGTAAGAAAATTTTGAGTTACTGAATACAAAAAAGTGCTACTCGTGGCTAAATAAAATTAGTGAACTCTACAGAGAGGAGTTTATTTGCATAATCTCTGTAAAGGAAACACAAGAGGAACTGAATGATGGCAGAATCTCATTTAAGATTGTCTTTAAAAACCCAGTAAAATCCAACTTATCTTCAAGGATTTTCCAACAGCCTTGGAAGACAGAAACAGTGGCCCCCTTGGGAGCAAAAGTGAGGCTCGCTTCATGTCCAGTGTAATAGAAATAATCTGTTCCCCCCCGACCCTCCGCCCCAGAACAAAGGCCCGCAGGCTTACTGGCCAGGATGTAAAACTGGCGTTCCTGCAGCTCGGGATTCCTCTCCTGTAATGCAGCCCGTGGCACATGTTGTATCCCCTGGCCCACCGCGTGTCACCCTGTAGGTAGTGGGGCCTGCTGCACTATGGCCACTACTGTGAGTACTTAAATCCCAAGTCTTGTGCCTTCTGCCAGCATCCATGAGACTGTGCAGGCTAACTACTTGGTGTACAAGTGAGGAAAATCTTGGACTTTCCCCAGTTCTTGACAAGCCCTTAGAATAATTAGGAGCCTTAGGAACACAGAGCTCTCCAGAACCGAAAGCACACATGGTCCTCAATGAAGACTTCATGCAACTGAATGTCTGTCAGTCTGCCTGCCCTCCTGTATCTCTACCCTAAGGAGGAGAAGCACTAAAGCATTACAGACTGAGGACTCACAGGGGCAGCCTGGAGCACCCCGGGACCAGAAACGTCCCACACAGAGCAGATGCATAGGCATATTTCCAAAATGGACCTATGTGCCTCCCTATCCTCCAACAATGAGTATGACACCATCACAACTGTGATGATCTGACTCATTACAATCTTGTGATGGACCAAAGCTACACTCTAAAAGGAGCAAGGCACATGGAAGTTGTCGGCACGTCACCACGTTTGGTGACCAAACACCCCACTAAATTTCACATTCTAATCAATTCCAAGTTACAACAAATTTCATCTGACATTTAATGGCATGCCTGATTTGGGCCCTGAAATAATCAACAGTTTATGTTTATAATTTGTGTTATTTTAAAACATACTGCCAAGGCTGTTTGAGGTAAGGTGTAGGAAGGAAGGGTCGAGAGACAGATAAAAGTTAGCTGCTATGAAGCCACTCTCAAGATCTCTGGATTGACACATAACCCAAGGAGGTGGAGGCAGATGGCCGCATGCCTAGATCATCCCAAACTATGGCTCCCGGGGATGGCAGGGGGCCCGAAGCAGCTTCCCGAATAATGTTTATGCACATATGTACACAATATCCTAGACCACAGGGATGAATCACAATTCAATCCTCCATTACTCCCCTTTAATTAATGATTATTTCCAAATCACTGTATTGTTACTTATTTTCCATACCTGTATGATGCCAAGCCAAAAGAAAATCAAATTTCAATGGCTTCTTTTCTTTGAAGGACCAAGATATTCTTTCATACTTCTTAGAATTCGGGTTAAAGGATAAATCCATCAAATCAATGGAAACAACTTAAAAAATGGAAAGAGGAATAAACAGTTCATTCGTATATACACAGCCTACACTGTGGAAAAAGTGCTGTATTAAAAAGCATCAGAATTTTTGGAAGTTTTATGACTAGCAAAAATTATTTTGTTCTTGCACTCCTTTGGTTTACCAAATCAAAACTCTGCCTTTCATGGGCATTTCTAGCATTGACAGTAACAACAAATTTTTTAAATTCATACTTTTCCGAGGTCAAAGCCCAAGGGCAGAGGTTTGGGAGGTCAATCCTAATCTACCTAAGGATGTGACAGCCTCAGTCATTCGTGTTCAAGCCAGACACTATCGGCAGAACTGTATCTCCTCACTCATGGGGGTGTCTCTACTAGTCATCATAAAAAACCTGGTGAAAGTAAAGGAAATTCTTTATTAAGAACACACTGTAGACTCTTATCTTGGGTTCATTACTTTGAATTTCTGACCCAAAACATATATATTTAATGGACCATTCCAATTCTGTGATCCTTATAAGATGCAGCCCACAGCCGAAGAGAAACAGAGAGAACAGCAATCTTAGCCTCTCCAAAGCTCAACCTAGAGCCCCGTGGGTAAGAAGTTTTAAAGACAAGAAAAAGCCATACTCCTTCTGAACAAAGAGAACAGTGGCAATTCAAACATTTACACTGAAATTGCTACAGGAAGATTACTGACTTGTTAGAAACTGATGGGAGCATAATACTTACTAAATTTCATGATTTTTCTGCCAGAGTACTGAGATGGACAACCTTGAAGACCAGTTTCTTCATAAGTATCTTTATCCAGTGATAAAATTAATTTCCCTATAAGTCAAATAATTCCCATAAAAGAGATGTTAAAAATATGACACGTTCTCTGATTAAAAGAAAGCATAGCCAATCGAGCAGTTAAATATGAGGGTAATAAACTGCACACAAGGATTTTCTTTATGATATAAGGATATTATTTATACATACATCCTATTTATGTATAAGGATATTTTAACCTATTATACATTCAAGGATATTATTTATGACAGTGAAAACAAAAATTATCTAAATTTCTATTAAAGACGGAATAGTTAAACAAATCATGGTTACCTCTTCACTAGAATGCCTTCAAAATATTAAAAATAGTAAGTCAGAACCATATGCCCTGATACGGAAAGATGTCTATGACATATTGAGAAAAAGAAAATTGAGGAACAAGGTAGTACAATGTTATTTATGTTAAAAAAAAAAAAACAAGCTTTATGTGTGTATAGAAAATGTCAAGAAGAATAAAAACCAACCTGTTAAAAACAGTTCATTCTAAGAAGGGGAGTGATCTGGAGATTTGACTTTTTTTTTTTTTTTTTTT